GAGGAGAGGAGAGGAGAGGAGAGAGCAGAGGAGAGGAGAGGAGAGAGGAGAGGAGAAAGCAGAGGAGAGGAGAGAGCAGAGGAGAGGAGAGAGCAGAGGAGAGGAGAGGAGAGGAGAGAGGAGAGAGGAGAGAGGAGAGGAGAGATCGGAGGAAAGGAGAGAGAGCACTTAGTACTTTGTGGAGATTGGAAACTGTGTCTCAGATCATATGGCCCTGACCTGTGGAGTACCACAGGGGTCGATCCTGGGACCTCTTCTGTTCAATCTCTACATGCTGCCGTTAGGTCAGTTAATACGCAGAAACAAAGTGTCCAATCACAACTATGCAGACGACACTCAGATCTATGTCTCACTGACTGCAGGAGAACATGGACCAGTGGACTCACTCCTTCACTGTATCCAACAGATCAGTGAGTGGATGCAAAACAACTTCCTTCAGCTAAACGCAGACAAAACTGAAATGATTGTCTTTGGTCCCCAGAAACAAAGAGAGAGCGTCATCTGTCACCTCCAGTCTCTCTCCCTAAAACCTTCAAACAAGGTCAGAAATCTAGGGGTAATACTGGACTCAGACTTAAATTTTAATAGCCACATCAAATCAGTAACATCAGCAGCTTTTTACCATCTAAAAAACATTGCCAGGATCAAAAACATAGTGTCTAAAGCAGACCTGGAGATTCTTATCCATGCATTTGTCTCCAGTAGGTTAGACTACTGCAATGGCCTGCTCACAGGTCTGTCCAAACAGGCTGTAAAACAGCTGCAGTACATTCAAAATGCAGCAGCTCGAGTCCTGACTAGAACCAGGAAGTACGACCACATTAGTCCTGACTAGAACCAGGAAGTACGACCACATTAGTCCAGACTAGAACCAGGAAGTACGACCACATTAGTCCTGACTAGAACCAGGAAGTACGACCACATTAGTCCTGACTAGAACCAGGAAGTACGACCACATTAGTCCAGACTAGAACCAGGAAGTACGACCACATTAGTCCTGACTAGAACCAGGAAGTACGACCATATTAGTCCAGACTAGAACCAGGAAGTACGACCACATTAGTCCTGACTAGAACCAGGAAGTACGACCACATTAGTCCTGACTAGAACCAGGAAGTACGACCACATTAGTCTGGTCCTCAGGTCTCTGCACTGGTTTCCTGTGGCTCAGAGAATAGACTTTAAAACAGCTCTGCTTGTGTAAGTCTCTCCATGGCCTCGCACCAACATATATTAGTGTTTAGGACTAAACATGGGGAGGCTGCTTTTCAGATTCATGCTGCTAAAATCTGGAACAGTCTTCCTGAAGATGTGAGACAGGCCTCCTCTCTGACAATGTTTAAAACCAGGTTAAAGACAGTTCTGTTTAACTGTGCATACAACTGAGGGATTTCATATTTTTATCTTTCTTTTTAATGTTCTGTGATTATTTCTTGTTTTGTTCAGCACTTTGAGTTGCCTTGTGTATGAATTGTGCTATACAAATAAACTTGCCTTGCCTTGCCTTGAGGAGAGAGCAGAAGAGAGGAGAGAGATGGAGAGAGCAGAGGAGAGGAGAGAGGAGAGGAAAGAGATGGAGAGAGGAAAGAGAGGGAGAGAGGGGAGAGAGGGAGAGAGGAAGAGAGCAGAGGAGAGAGTAGAGGAAAGAAGGAAACTCTTGTCCCATTTATATGCAATGTAGACAACCAGACTGATATTTGCTTTTGCGCTAAGATGTAGGCACGGAAAGAACATGCAAACTCCACACAGAAAGGTCCTGGAGGTGCCGCAGGACGAACAACTGCAGAATGATGTGAGTCCGAGAGTTAATGGAGGACGTGTTGTTTACATGCGGACAACAAACCGGCTCAAACCAGATTTAAACAATTCACTGCAATCAAAGGTTCATCGACTCGCTCCGGTTTACAGGCAGCGGGAACAGACTGATTTAAATTAGATTATCTCTGTTAATGCAACATGGAGACGACTGTGAGGAGAGAGGAGGGAGGGGAGGGAGAGAGAGGAGAGGGAGAGAGGAGAGGAGGAGAGGGAGAGAGAGGTAAGGAGGGAGAGGAGGAGAGAGGAGAGGGAGAGAGGAGTAGAGAGGAGAGAGGAGGGAGGGAGAGAGAGGAGAGGGAGAGAGGAGAGGTGGAGAGGGAGAGAGAGGAGGGGGAGAGGAGAGGAGGAGAGAGGAGAGGGAGAGAGGAGTAGAGAGGAGAGAGGAGGGAGGGAGAGAGAGGAGAGGGAGAGAGGAGAGGTGGAGAGGGAGAGAGGAGAGGAGAGAGAGGAGAGAGGGAGAGGGAGAGAGGAGAGGAGTAGAGAGGAGAGAGGAGGGAGAGAGAGAGAGGGAGAGAGGAGAGGAGTAGAGAGGAGAGAGGAGGGAGGAGAGAGAGGAGAGGGAGAGAGGAGAGGTGGAGAGAGGAGAGAGGAGGGAGGGAGAGAGAGAGAGGAGAGGAGTAGAGAGGAGAGAGGAGGGAGAGAGAGAGAGAGAGGAGAGAGAGAGAGGTGAGAGAGAGAGAGA